CCCCAAAACCCCAAAACCCCAAAACCCCTTTATGAAAATCAAGATTGAAAATCCTTTAAAAATAGTTAAATTTTGAAGCTAAAATTCTAAAATTTAACCCTTTGCAATTGCATTTATAGTTTCCCGAAATAAGCTAAAGTTTGAAATGTCACTTTCAGGTCACAGAGATTACGAAAGAGGGGTGTATAGCTCCAAATCTAGAGGAAAAACTGACTCCCAAGTAGAAACTCAAAGAGAAGAGGGTAAGATCGGAGATAACCTTGTCAGGATCAATAAGCGTTATGATCTTGGAGAGTTCAAAAGATATGTAGAGGAAGATCTCCCGACTACCTCACAACTATCAAAAACAAAGAAAGGTAATTTATATTTTAGTTCTAACTTTTATAGATGAAGATGAGATGGAAATTGATCCAGATGACCCTATTCTGACAAAAGAAAGAGTTGAAGTCATAGCCAAGAAAAGATATGAGAAGGACTGTAGTCCCTGGCTCACTCCTGATATCCAATGAGATAACGCTTGGATACAACTACATAACGAAATTATTGCGTTCTTCAACTTTTACGGACCCTGTGAAGAAGAGGATTTCATTAGAAAGCAATTTTACATAAGAGTCAGAGACCAGATCAAAAGAATTTGGCCATATGCCAAAGTAAAAGTATTCGGCTCAACCGCTACTAGACTTTATCTCCCCCAGAGTGATATTGATCTAGTGGTTTTTCTACCAAAGAGTAAAGTTGATGACTTGAAGTTGGTAAAAACATTACAAAACAAGTTATCTAAGCTAGAATGGACAAGATCATGAGAAACTATCGGTGCTAAAATTCCTATAGTCAAGCTAGAGGATACTATTTCAGGCCTGTTCATGGATATCTCTTTTAACAAGTGAAGTGGCATTGCTGCTATTGAAATGCTGCAGAAGTACATCAAACTCTATCCTGAGATAAGGTATCTTCTCCTCGTTTTAAAAGCATTTTTGAAGATTAGAGGTCTCAATGAAATGTTCCAAGGAGGTCTAAGCTCATACTTGTTGACGATAATGGTTATTAGCTACATGCAAGAAATAAAGAAGCAGGATAAGAATGAGAATCTTCTTCTTTCAGAGCATTTGTTGAACTTTTTCCATCTCTATGGTATTAGGTTTAACTATAAAGAACTTGGAATATCAATCAGAAATGGAGGATTTTATTTCCTTAGATTAGATAAAAGCTGGGATAATCCTTCCAGACCGATTAGTCTATGTGTTGAAAGTCCTCAAGATCCAACCATCGATGTTGGAACTGGAGTCTACAATATGGCTAGTGTTCAGAGTGCTTTTCAGCATGCTTATGAAGCTATGAGGTATAATTCTTCAGTGAATCAAAGTATCCTAAGATCAATTTTACGTCAGGTCCCATACAAGAAGGTCAGAATTGAACTTCTCGAACAAAGGCTATTCCAAGGTCAACTTGAGACAACTCAGGAAGATCAGAATCTCGAAGAGGAGAAAAAAATTGATTCTCACCTAGAAGATAGCATGGATGTTGACAAAGATGATTCCGCTCAGAAAGGTGCAAAAATTGATCCAGAAAAGCCAAAGAAAACTTCTTCCGAAGAGAAAGCCAAAACTACAACAACTGAGTCTAAATCAGAACCTTCTAAATCCACCAAGGAAGCTGAGCAACAAAAGAAAACAGTTGCTGATAAACCAAAAGAACTTGAAAAAGACAAGGAAAAAGAACAGAAGTCCACTGAAAAGGAATCAACCAAAGAAAAGCACCAAGAGCTGAAAAAAGAAATTGAAGCCGAAAAGAAGTCTTCTGAAGAAAAAATTGCTAACAAAAAGAAGAAGATTGGCAAAGAGAAGGAGAAATCATCTAATAAGAAGGAACTTGAACCTACAAAGAAGAAAGATGACTCAAAAACTCAGAAGGATGAGCAAAAATTTAAGAAAGAAGAACTCAAAACTGACAAAGAGGAGGTTAAGTCTAAGAAGGATGATTCTAAAGCAAAGAAAGATGAGACTAAGGCTAAGAAAGATGACTCAAAAGAAAACAAACAAGACGCAACCCCTAAAGCGAAATCTTCAAAACCTGCCAGTGATAAAAAGTGTGGCGCCTCTACACTAGAAAAAGAGAAGAACGTTAAAGATACTTTACCATCCAAAGAAAAATCTCAAGAAGCAGCGGATGATAAAGATACCAAAAAGGATATTATCAAAGAAAAGAAGACCGAAGAAACAAAGAAGATTTCAGAGAAAGCCAAAACTGAGCAAAAAGAGGCCAAAAAGAAGCTGACTGACAAACCAAAAACATCTAAACCTGATAAAGAACATAAACCCAAAGCTAAGCCAGAAATCAAGGAAGAAGACATGGAGGTAGACTCTCAAGACGATGGCAAGAAAGAAAAAGATACCAAAGAAGTAAAACATAAAGAAGCTACCAAACAGAGTGTTAAGGATAAGCCAAAGGTCAAGCAACAGAAAGACCTCACTGATGTTCAGAAAAAGGCTGAAGTCAAAGAACATAGAAAAGTAGTAAAGACTGAGAAACCAAAAGACTCTGCTAAGGACTCACCAGTGGAAAAAGAAAAGTTAAAGAAGAAGAAATCTAAATCAAAAACAAAGTCTAAACTCAAGGAAACAGAAAAACTTGCCAAAAAGCAGAAGAGGGATAAATCGAGATCATCTAAAAGGGTTACGAAATCTCCATCAGTAGCTAAGAAGAAAGAGAAAGCAAGCAAGAAAACTGATGAAGACACTCAAAAACCTGAAAAAGAAGCCGTCAAAACTGAGAAGAAATTTAAAGACACTGAAAAAGTAAAGGAGAAAGAAGACAAGAAGGAAAAGAGAAAGGTTAAGTCTAGAGCAAGAGAAAGGTCTAAGTCTAAACCTTCTAAACATGCAAAAGAAGATGAAGATACTCAGAAAAATACTAAATCCTCAAAGAAACTGAAGAAACGAGATAAGAAAGCATCTGAGAAATCTCAAGAAAAGAAACATGAATCCTCTGGATCACCTAAAATAGACGAACCAAACCCCTCTAAAAAACCTCGAAAATCAAAAAATCAAAAATCTCCCAAAAAGTCCAAAAACCCCAAAACCCCAAAACCCCAAAACCCCTATAAATTTAATATTTATTGAATTATTATAAATACTATTTCCAAGAGCAGAGATTGAGCTAATTACCTCGCTAAATTTAGTATGAAAATTCTCAAAAATCTCCCAATAGCATTGTGCATAATTTTGTATGTAAAACTATTAATTTTAAGTCAAAGTGGAGATCATCAACGATTTTGGAATAAATAGTACTTATCAGAGGGCTCATAAAAGTACTATTTATGTCCAAATAATTTATCAACCACAAAGGCTGAGATTTTATTAAGGCTTGATTGCCTTCTGGATGTCTTCACATAGATATCTTAGAATTATAGGGAACTCATACTTCTTGAATTCGTTGAGAAGGTTTTCAATAGCTGTTATATTGAGCTGAAACTTCTTATTAACCTCTTCCCAAACTCCTCTTTCACGGAGAACATCTGCTATGATGTACTTGATTTTCCTGTCGCTTTTGATCAGCTCTTTTTGAACTGGCTGGATGTTATTTATGGTTATAATAGTTCTTTAGAGTATGATAGATATTGTCGATAAGCTTTCTATTTGTAGTGACAGGTTTATCAGTCTTTGTTAGATCATTTTCCAGCATACCTTTTATCACTCAGTAAGCAATTGATCCATAAATTGCAATTGGAGCTTCAAGTTCATATCCTTTCAAAGTAAATTTAGCTTTTGAGGCCTTGAGCTGATCAAGAACGATTTTGAGTTTATCGAAATTGAAAGTTACATTGTTGCTTTCCGCCATCTTCTCTTTCGTATCTCAATAGCTTGTAACCCAAACTTTCAAAATTTTTCCAAAATTGATTCCCTTCTCATAGAGATAATTCCTGACAAAGATAAAATAGTCTTCTCTCTCGCTTTCCTTCAGCTTCTTTCTAGTTGCTTTCTCCAGTTTATTCAGATGCTGATGCACGAGGTTATCAAGCGCATTAATGTACTTGATTGCCTCGTTATCATCAGGCTTACTGAAATAGCTAGGAAGTTTCTCCAGTAAATTAATGAGGGAGTTCTTATAAGCTTTGTCATATAGAATTTTGTTCCTCATGCTTTTCATTTTAATATTCATGTCTGACTCAGAGGCTGCGGTTGAAGCTGTTCACTCGCTCATAGGAGGACGATAGGATACTGTCTGCGGAACATGCTTCTGTTCTTCACGCTGATTGGAAGCTGCATTTGTTGAGACTGAGGTCTCTCCTGATTCTTCAACGAAAGGAAGTTGATGCATATCATCGGCGAACTTGAAGCATGGCTTATGGCTTAGTTTAGATATTTCTATATCAGAGTTAGTTTTAAACTTGTAGTTTTAACTAGTTTCAAATTAGATTAATGTTGATTGAGATAGATTTAAAAGATTTTATTTTTCTAACTTACTTTTCTCCCTTTGAAGCTCAGTTATGAATTTCTTTTCAAAGAACGTTTTATTCTTAGAGTATAGGGTAATCTTCATGTTTTGTGACATGAGTAGGCCTATCTTATAAAATAAATTTTGATTTCCAACTACAATATTCAACTTAGTTTGTGAAAGCTTTTGTAGCTTTTCTTTGTCTAAAGTTGATGCAGTAGTAGTCTCAGATGTCTGGGATTTGCCATCCTCTATAGAGAACTTGTCTCTAATTATTCCTTCAATTCTTTCAAGTGCAACTGATTTTGACTTGAAGTAGAGCATCACATGAACTTGTTTGTATATAGCTATGACAATTAGCATAGGCTTCAAGAGTAGAATGAACAATCTTAACATTTCGATCAAATCAGTATTTACCTTCCCAGACAGAATCCATAAGTTTGTACAAGGAGTTTCTACTCTTGTCCTCTTGCTTGGTCATGAAATGTCCTTGATCTCTATCATCTTCAACCCCTTCAGCTTGCTCTCTTTCTTTATTTCTCCTAGAAATACAAATTAACCTCTGAAAAATTGGGTGAACTAACACCCGGTTTAATTTCATGACCTATTGGTAGTCCGCCAAAGTCAGTATTAAACTAAATTTTACCGCTCCATGCTATTTGGTACAAAATTGGAGCCTAAAATTAGAGATTTTTCTGAAAATTGGGAAGAAAAATTGGAATTAATTGACTGAAAATTAAATTATAACTTATTCCATGTATATAAAAGCGTTCTAGGATAATTAAATTTGAGACACTGGTAGTGCAGAATAGAAATTGTGGATTTATTGTGGTAAAATAATGACTAAGCGAATGTGGAAGAGAGGGCTAGATTTAGGAAATGAAGGGGTGTGAAGGAGATAGCCAGCATTGTCTTTATACTGACAAATTTTTTGAACTAATATACTAAAACACAAATAAAACCATAAAAATTAATTACAAACACCTAATCAAGCCCATATCTAAAACCCAACCCCCACAACCTCCAAATCTCTCTCTAACCCTCCATCCTCAAAACCCCTCCTTCCCACTCAAAATCACCCTAAACCCTCCTTCAGCCCCTCTCTACCCCATCTAAACCCCCTTATTCCTCCCCAAAACCCCCTCCCTCCCTCTTACCTTCCTATGAAGGTCAATCTCCTCCTGTGACCCAAACTGCCTGTATCCAAAGTGCATGTCTCAGTCAAAAATCACAGCTAGTGGCTCAACGTAGTTCTCGAAATCCATTTAGAAATATGTTCTTTAATAATTATTTATCAACTTTTTTAATTAAAGCGGGGTTTTGGGGTTTTGGGGTTTTGGGGTTTTGGGG